AGACAGAAAGCGAGAAATCACCCCCCAGGGGGGATGGTCACGCCGCAATCCCTTCTCCTCCATTCTCCTCTCGGGATCTTGGGCACGCACGCACGCACATGCGCCTGGTGTGAGTTCTAAGCCACCGGGTCCGGGACGCGAACCACAGTCGACTACATGGGAGTCCAGCGACATAGCCATTACACTAACTGCTGGTTCCCTTGAGCATTTTTGAATATGCTTTTTAGCTGTTCGTATGTCTTCCTTAGAGAGTTGTTTATTCAGCTTATTTCTCCATCTTTTAATTAGGTTAATAATTTTCTTCCAAGTAAGCTGCTTGAGTCCCCTGTATATTCTGTTTACCAGTCCCTTATCTGAGGCACAGTTAACAAAAATTCTCTCCCATTCCGAGGGGTGTCGACTCACACTAATTACAGTGTCCTTTGCCATGCAGAAACTTCTTAATCTGATGTAATACCACCTGTTTATTTGGGGGATTATTGTCTGTGCTTTAGGGGTTTTGTTTAAGGAGTTTTTGCCTACAATATTTCCCTAGTGTTTTCCACCAGCAGTTTTATAGTTCATGGTCTTAGATTTAGATCTTTGATCCACTTTGAGTTGATTTTTGTTAATGGTGACATATAGACTCTTTTATTTTTAAGTTTATTTTTAAAATTAATGATAGCGAGTTCAAGTATGTGCATTAGAAAGGTGGAGACAAAGAGAGAGGCATCCCCAACAAGGTCTTTGTGCCATGACCCACCTCCAGACTCAGCCAGCAAAGATTGCAGGCATGCATGTGCCTGGTTTGTAAAGGGAAGTCCTGGGATGTGAGCTGAGGACCTTCCATGTGTGTCCAGTTGTGTTACTGCTGTATCTCCACCTGGTTCTCATTTGCCCTCTTATTGGGTTGTTGGCAAAGTTTCCTTGCTTCGGAGATCTTTCCTGTGTTGCTAGTCTTCCTATCTGCCGTGTTTGTTGCATTTTTAGGCTCAGGGAACTGTAATAACATAGAAGATGTGGGCTTGCTCCTCACAGCAATGCCAGATGCCATGGAGGGCTGTGATCCCCTGCCTTGTCATCCCAGGGGAACATTCAGGCTTCACAATCACTGCCTAATTTTGCCCGATGCCTGAGCTGCTTATGAGAGGTTTCAAGAAAATTTTGCCAAAAGTATTTGGTTAAAATGAAGATTCTGGTGGGATCTTCTGGCTCTATGTAGCAAGTTCCAAATGAAATAGTAAGAGAAGTCTGTTCCTACTGATTGTGCAGTAGTTTATCTCTGGTCACTGCTTGTCAGCTTGTATGCTTGTGGAATGTTGGACAGAAGAAATGAGTAAAGTTAATATAATTTAATTTTAGAAGGAAGCTCAATGGTCAGAGTCATGTGCTGAAATTATTTACCAAAGTAGGTTATCAAGAGAGCTTTCTAAAGATTGAGGAGTAAAGCAGATGGCTTGACTACACTACACCAATTGTTCAGTGAGATATCACAATATGTTAGGGAAGAAAAGGTGTATGATTAAATACTCTGGAAAATGATGGCTTGAACAAATTCAGTCTGTTCACTACTAAACTCTAAGATCCTTTAAATGTTAATATTCGTGGTAAATCTTTAATAGGAGGACATGTTATACAGTGTTTCTCAAACTTGTTTGACCATGGAACCCTACTGACTACCTTCAGTGGACGTGTTCTATAGAATATTCTTTGGCAGACACTGACATAGGCAATCTCCTACCCAACTGCTAGGCTGTGAACTAGATCTTTTTTATGTTTCCTTGAATAAAATGATTCCAGGTAAAAATACTTCATTCATAGGCCATGATTAAGCCATCATTAGTTTAATACCTATCATATGTAACAGATGAATTCACTTGAGATATAATAAAACTATTAGGTGGATGAGAAAATTGACATGTTGAGATGTTATTTAATGTGGAGCCATCAGAGACAGAAAGGATGACGTTTCAACCACTAACTAGCTGTGGTTTCTGAAGGAAGTTACATAATTATTTGTGTCTCAGTTCTCTGGCCTACAACACATGAATAATGATATAACTAACTCAATGATTTTTGTGATGTGTGTGTGTGTTTATGTGTTTGAGTATAAACTATAAGATCTGTTACCGCTGCAAGGAAAAAAAATCCTAGGTTCTCAAACAAGTTAAGAAAAAGGATGTGAAAGTTTTATTTAGATTGATTTTACTGTAACATTGTTTCTTTATAAAATAATTTTATCAAAGAATCCATCAAGATATTATATAGAAAATACACACTAAGGTAATATATATACACTTCATAAAAAATAGAATACATCTTGGCAATTGCTTACAGAGTCTGTTACCACCATGTACAGTGTATTGACGTTAAACATTTATGTTAATTTGAGCATAGGAGATTTAAAAAAAAGAAATTTGTCCCATTGGTATTTAAAAAATTGTCCTCATTGATAGAAAATTTAAAAATTCTGGAATGTAAAAGTTATGGAGCTTAATGAAGTACATTTATATTGAAATGTTAGCAAAGATCCAAACCATGAACAATGTGCAGAGGATAACGTGTTATATTTTTTTCTATTATCATAAGCAGCTCAGCCAATTTCACAAAAATCACTGAAAATAATGTTCTGGATGTTCAATGAAGGTAAGTGCCCTGTGGGATCAAAAAAAGCCATTTAGTAGCTGTACTATATTTCTAAAATGAGTGACATGTCTTTTTTTTCCCCTTCAGATAGGAATAGGTGTACGTGACCTATGATAAAGCATCAATTTAAAAAAATCTTCGTAAGTTATTTCATAAGCTTCGATCAAAACACCTAGTGACTAGTTTTTTCGTTTTAAAAAAAGTTAAAAGCTCAAACATCGACTTGACTTTGAATGAAATGTTTTAAGAGAGAAATGATCTCAGCTTCTATGCTACCATAAAAGGTCACTGATGTGTCCTGCTGGGTGTTCAGAAAAATCTTTGGGAAGTAACTGCTCCAGTGTAATAAATAATGAAAATAATAAGGGATTCTTCCAGACCTCACTAAAAGATATGACACCATGGTGGGACTACGGAAATACGTCAGCAGTACCAAGGAAAGCACACCAAGTATAGCACCATTTTCAAGTTGCTAAGATTGCAACTGTTCAAGAGACAGTAATCTGAGAGGGGACTCGATGTTCATGAGTAATGCAGTTTGAGTATGTGGAGGAGGCTTTGGAGAGCTTCTTAGTATGGATAGGCAGACACTGCTATATAAACTATGAATGTCGTCTGATATTCAATGGTCCCATTGGCGCTGTAGGATAAGGCTCGAACCTTCATGCGGTAGGTCTCTGGTTCTCGCAGTGGTCGTGTTGTGTACACTACTCCTTTCAAGTTTTCATCCCTTAAGGCGAAAGGAACAGTCTGCTCCTCATCTACCATGAGGAAAGTTGTCCTGGGATGCATCACTCCATCCTGCGTGTATGCAACCAGCCGGATTAAATCTTGATTGGCAGCTATTCCAAATGGGAGGGAGACAAGTTTATATTCCAAGGCATATGGACTCAAGGCACATTCCAGATCATTGGGTGGACAGTTCTTGAGGCAGAACCTAAGGGCAGCAAACATGGAAAATGCACATAGTTACGTGGCTCAGAAGCAGGAGACACATAATTCAGGTGATTATGACCATAACCACTTTTAGGTATTGAATGCAAGAGACAGCCTGACTACATGAACAACATGACTCACTCCATGTTCTCTGTCACTAACTCAAACCAGATGCCAGATGGCTAAGAGGATATGCTAGAGTCAAATAGCTATGTCTCAGCTCCATTAAAATCAGAAACATTTGAGTCACTGAAGTCAGCATGAATACCACAAGAAAACTTTCTTTAAAATAAAAATCAGTTTTGGAATAAAAACATCTGCACATACATTGGAAACGAGTACCTCTTAACGAGAGCAATACAAACTATTTTAAAATTAGGACATCTATTCTAACATTTTTTGAAAGCTGAAATAGGATATTTAGCTCTTTGGCTAATTTTTCTAAATAATAATAGGAGGTCAATTAAGATTCCTGAAGGAGGAAAAACTTTCTTTTGTAACTGTCTTCCACATTATTTTAGACTAAATAACTCCATTTTCTTTTTCCAGGGCCCATATCGACGGCTGTTTGTCACCATGACTTAAACTGTTTGCCAGACATTACTGGCCATAAAGAATGAAAAAAAGTACACAGAGGACCATTTTGTAAGGACATGGCTTTTTCAATTATAGTATTATATTTTAGACATTTCCTAAGTATATAGGTTTTTTTTTTTTTGAGAGTTTTTTGCTATAGGGCTTGTGCACTTGCCAGAAAGAGAGAAAGACAGAGAGACAGAAAACGAGAAATCACCCCCAGGGGAGATGGCCACGCCGCAATCCCTTCTCCTCCATTCTACTCTTGGGATCTTGGGCACGCACGCACACGAGCCAGGCATGAGTTTAAGCCACTGGGTCCAGGATTGGAACCGTGGTTGACTACATGGGAGTCCAGCAACATAGCCATTATGCTACCTGGTCCCCATAAGTATATACTTTTAATTTTCTCCTTCTCTTTCCTATCCCCTCAATTACAAACACCTCTTTGGTGGACTTTGGACAGTCCACTCTTGACTATGGTACATTAACTTGGTAGGCATTACCAAGAGGAAAATAAACTGTGAGCTCCAACCAGTGCTTGGTGTCAGAGGCATCTTCTTATTCACAACGTCTATCCAAGATGCACATTATCACTTGTTTTTAAGCACCCGGTTCACTCGGTACCTGGACAGACTACATCATTTCCACGAGGTGGGGGTGGGGGGGAGGAGGCTAAAATAGAAAAATACTTTATTCAGAACCCAGAAAAGAGTTTCAGACAGCAGGAAATGTAAGCAGGATGACCCGTGAACTGGCGTCTGACTACTGACTCATCTTTACTCATTTCGGTTTTCTCATGGGTTTGTGAGTCATCCAACACAAAAAAGGTACTGCTTGGAGTGTTCTAACTGCTGAGAGCGCTACAACCCTGGGGCAACGCAAAGGACAAGCGGAACATTTCAAAGAAAGGCAGATTACTGTCTTCCCCTAAAGTCCTGGCTATTTATTTATTTATTTATTTAGAGAGGTTTTTGCTATAGGGCGTGTGCGCTTGCCAGACAGACAGAGAGAGACAGAGAAACAGAAAGCGAGAAATCACCCCCCAGAGGGGATGACCATGCTGCAATCCCTTCTCTTCCATTCTCCTCTCGGGATCTTGGGCACGCATGCACACGCACCTGGCATGAGTTTAAGCCACCGGGTTCAGGATTCAAACCGCGGTCAACTACGTGGGAGTCCCAGTGACATAGCCATTACTCTAACTGCTGGTCCCAAGTCCTGGCTATTGAGGTAGACTTCTAGGGGTTTCATGATGGGTCACAATCCGAGGACACTGCTCTGGGAAACCATGGCAGCCCCAAGTGATGGCTTAGGCTGCAGTGGCTGCTAAGACGGGCTCATTTCTTGTCACTCACTGAAGAAGGCACTCACTAATTCTACGTATCCCTGCAGTTACTGACTTCCAATGAGTTAAATATGACTCTAGGCAGGATTTGGGTAGGGAAGGAGGCGAAGGATGAAAACCCATCTGAGAGGAGAAGGCAGGCCATACCCTGAAACAGGATCCCGCTGGTAGTTGGGTGGGCAGGGCGTATCGATGCACCGGTAGCTCCCTCTCATGTTGAAGCACATGCGATTCGGCCCACAGTGCACGTTCTGTTCCAGACACTCATCGACATCTGGGAATAGCACAAGGAACATGCCGCATCATCAAGGAGGGTTGGAAAAGGCCTTGGTAACAGGCGTTGTGTGTATTTCCCAGAATGTGAAGGGCTGGCTTTCTCTGCCCAGGAATGAACTCAATGGTCACACCTCTGCTTCTTCAACCATAAACTGGGGAACGAGGATGCCTGCTGTACTCTCCCCAGATCGCTTTGAGGGTACATTTCTTTAACACATGTGAAAGGACGTCACAGAGTAGGAGCTACTTAAGTACAAGGCGAGCTATGACGAGTCTACTGATGTCTCATATTTAGAAAGTAGAGTATAAATATACGTTTGTAAAGCAAACAGTATTTAAAATTAATTTTTTTCATTTATTTCTTGAAAGGAAGAGAAAAAGAAGGAAATACACCCCCACTCAGGTCCTCATGCTGCAATCATCTCAAGTGTCGGCAGGTCTGACTCACAGGAACACACATGTGTGCCTGACGTGTTCACGGAGAAACTGGGGTGCAAACCCAGGATATTTCCCATGTGGATTTAGTGGTGTTTGGTGTTACCATTGTGCTGCCAAGTGGCACCCAAGTAATATGTTAAATGCAGTATCAACAAGCTAAAGATTTAAAAGACACTTGTGAATGCTTTAGTTTTTAGAGACTTTTTTGCTCTAGGGCACGTGTACTCGCCAGAGAGAGAGAAAGAAAGAGAGAAATCACCGCCCCGCTCTGGGGTGGGTGTGGGCACACTGCAATACCATCTCCTCTTCTCTATTCTCAGGATTTAGGGCATGCACACACATGCACCTGGTGTGAATTTCAAGCCACTGGGTTCAGGACTCGAACCACATTCAGCCATGTGGGAGTCTAGCAACGTAACCACTACAGCATCTGCTGGTTCCTCATGAATATTTTTGTAAAGTGGAGAATCTGTGAAATGTAAATGATCTTTCTCTAGTATTTTGTTTTTTAAAGTTCAAATTGTTGAGTAGAAAGTGGGGCAGTAGAAAAGAAAACTGAATAACAAATTCAGAAGATTTTCAGCTCTTGAGAGACAAAATAAAAAAAAAAAAAGAAGAAAGAATAAATAGGATAAACAGGAGTGACCCAAGAATCACAACCCAAGATTGAGCAAATGGAGCAAAGTCTGTCTGAACCTGGACTGGGCTGTCACAGCGATCCTCAGGTAACTGCAACATTACGGGGACACGGGCAAACAGTACTCTTCATTTTGTTCTTTCCTCCACAAAGTTGTTAGGTAGAAGCCCACTAAAATCAGTGTGATTATGAGACACCAAGATGGACTAGAGGAAACATTTTTTGTTTTTGTTTTTTGTTTGTTTTTGTTTTTTTTTTGAGAGATTTTCATTGTAGGGCGCGTGCGCTCGCCAGACAGACAGAGAGAGACATAGAGACAGAAAGCGAGAAATCACCCCCCAGGGGGGATGGTCACGCCGCAATCCCTTCTCCTCCATTCTCCTCTCGGGATCTTGGGCACACACGCACACGCGCCTGGCGTGAGTTTTAAGCCACCGGGTCCGGGACACGAACCGCGGTCGACTATGTGGGAGTCCAGCGACATAGCCATTACGCTAACTGCTGGTTCCCAAGAGGAAACATTTTTGAACTTTCTGAAAATGAGTGTTTTGAGCCATGATTTTTAACTTGGAGTCCATATTTGAACATCAATGACCTGTGAACAAAAATGTGTGTGTGTGTGTGTGTGTGTGTGTGTGTGTTGAAAGAGAAGAGAGAGCAAATGAAATTGAGACTGATGGATTTTCCAGAAAGAGGATTCGTAGAGCTCAACCAAAATTTTAATAGATTTTGAGATCCCAAAATCAATAACCAAATTTTAGAGCAATGGTTTTCAAACTGAGGTGATTTGTATCCCCTGGTGGTAAATGAAGGCCTTTTCTCTTTCTTTCTATCATTTTTGCCAGTGAGAACAGGCATTTGCCAGGGTGTGTGTGGGTGGGGAGAGAACGTGAGAAAGCATCCCTCAAAGGATATGATCACACCACAATTCCTCCCCCTCCATTCTCCTCTACCCCTTTCAGGATTTTGAAACACGCCTGCATGTTTCTCAGGCTGCCAGGTCCAAGATTCGAACCCATGTAGTCTGCCCTGTTGCCTTAACTGAGATCCAGTTGCCTTAACCACCATGCTTTGGGCTGCCTCAAACAAAAGCTTTCTAGTAGCATGAAGGGAGACCAATATTTGAGGGATTGTGGCACGGACATCCCCCCTGGGGGGTAACTTTTTGCTTTCTGTCTCTCTGTCTTTCTGGTGAGCACACGCACCCTATAGCAAAAATCTCTCCAAAAACAAAAACAAAAACAAAAAAATCCCAAAAAACAAAACTACCTCTATTATTTCTAAGGCACAAAGGATTAGAATATTCGCATGGAAACACGTACTGATGGTGGCAGGCAATATTTTACTTTTTATCATGGCCACAAACCAATGTCTTAGCTTCCTATTTTAAATTAGATTTCAGAAGTGAGTTGGTTGTCATGAGAACACCAACTAACACTTTTGTTTGAACAGAAAGGTGACCTTAGCTTTTTATGATAGACAATGTGATGGATTTATCAAAGACTACAGACTTTTAAACTATATAGTGATCATCTTCCATTAATGAGAGAGTTAAACAGTTCTAAAGTTTTGATAAAAATGGATTTCAAGAGGACCAGCAGTTAGCGTAATGGCTATGTCACTGGACTCCCACGTAGTCAACTGAGGTTCGAGTCCTGGACCTGGTGGCTTAAACTCACGCCAGGCGCCTGTGCGTGCGTGCCCAAGATCCCGAGAGGAGAATGGAGGAGAAGGGATTGCAGCGTGACCATCCTCCCTGGGGGGTGATTTCTCGCTTTCTGTCTCTCTGTCTCTCTCTGTCCGGTGAGGCGAGTGCACGCACCCTATAGCAAAAACCTCTCCAAAAAAAAAAAAATGGATTTCAAGCATGTGCACATTTAGTAACAGTGCTGAGGCTGGCAGGTGGTGTGGTGGTTGAGGTGTTGGACTCCTACATGGCTGACTGCGGTTTGAATCCAGGACCTGATGGCTTATTTTCTTGCTTTCCCTTTCTCACCCATTCTGTCTAGTTAAACTGAAAAGAATAATAATAGATAAAATAAATTAAATCATTACTTAAAAAATGATAACAGTGCCAGAATTCACATCCTTCACAATGATTTAACATTATGGCAAGAAACTTTAGAGGTTAATTTTTTAAAATTATAAGAGTTTCAAAGTCAATAGGTTGCATATAAGCACTTATAACACTGCTTCTTTAGCATAATAAACATACATCCTGATGTACAGGAGGACATAATTACAGGAGAAGACGATTGCAATTAAATCAGATTACAAATCGGTTCTTCTGAGAGGTAGTCCTGAGGGCCACATGCCCTTCTGCCATGGAATCACTGCTAAGGCCAATGGGCAATGTGTGATTATTTCATAGTGATAAGCGTGATGATATTTAAACTTGGATGAAAGTTGCCAAGTCCTTTCATAAATTCTTAACTAATTCAGAATATTGCTATAAAAGAAAAAGAAATAAGGGAAGACATGGCAAGAGATAGTATATTCGTCATGTGCAATACGTGTCCAATTTTATTTCTGAATTTCCATTTGCATTCATGTATCAAAAATGAGCATTTTACGTTTTGTGCCATATAAATTCTATTTTGTAGGGACACCACAGT